AAAGGGTTGGAGAGATGTATTGCTGAACATGAATCACTTTTCAACAAGCATTTTGGTTGTGAGGGAAATTGAATCCCATAACTACATGAATTATATGAGAAGTGTTAAACATCTGTCATAGTTTTCGACTTGGCAAGGGTTAAGATACTGAGCTTAACAGAAGAGGTTTTTACATCAGAAAATTACTTGACATATGAGTCTGAATTACCATCATGAATTTGTAGAAGCCCCATTTGACTGTTTTTGGAGATAGGGGTGCGATCAAATGTTACAATTGGATGAGTGACATGATTTTATTGTGTTTCTATTGTTCTTATGTAGAATGTCTTTCGTTCTTTATGGGTTTGTTGTTATACACTTAATTTGATGCATACCCRAATCAGTTGATGTCTATTTTACTATGCATTGCTCGATCCTTTGTCTATCTCARTAGTCTCATGGTAAGGTTTTAGTTATATCTTTTGTTGTGTTTTACTTGAAGAATATATACGATGGTACCGATTTATGTGTTCTTATTCTTTTGGATGGTTTGTAGGGAGATAAAACCAATTATGAAGGATGCATAAGTCATGGACCATGGGGTGGATTTCATGGACGTGTTAGCACACACCTTGATGCTATTGGGATATATGTGATGCCTGAATCACTTGCACTTGGTCGAAACTCTACAACTAAAAACAATTCCATGCATGAGGTTCATTTCTTAAWGTCTCTTTCTCATATTCTTGTTCTTAACTATTTAYGTTTCAAGCCTTATCTAAAAATGAATACCGATTATTCATGTTGTTTTAAAGTTAAAAATATCCTCATATATACTTGTGATTGAATTTTTTTTCACTATAAGGGGCGTTTTTTGACTTTCCGCCGTGGGCATCCAAAATATCAGGGCCGGCCCTGACATCTACATGTAGTGCTTTATAACTCTATCCAACATATACTCCTTTATTGTTATGTTCAATGGTCATTGAGGAAAATTTAGTTGGTATTGTTGTTTATAGATAAGGTTCAGTAGATAAGGATTTTCAATAGATAAGACTCTTAATATAGATCAGCCATTACTTTGGTAGATTTTGACGTAACTTTTGGTATATTTTGCACCAACTTTTGTATGCATCTATTTATGCTTAGGGTACAAATTCTTTATGATTTGGAAAGACTAATGGAAAGGTTATTTTCGTTTTAGAATGCCCGAAAAGTTATCTGTTCAAAAAAATAATCACTCAAAATATGAATGTCAGTTAGCATTTTTCATAATTTTCCATTTGCTTTTTTAGTTTTTATGTAATCATCTGTTCGTCTCAGCATGAGTCTCTCTTTCCTCCTCCTGAGGAGAAAGAATAACAAAACCCCATTGTAATCTACATCCCTCTCTCCAATTCATACACATAAATCCATTATCTTTCTCAAAATCCCATTTTTCTTAGACTTCAATCTTTTGCTCAGTTCCTGTTTTGGTAATGAATCTCTTTCTATGCAACAAATATCTTTATTATTTTCTTTTAATTTAGGAAGGTTTGCAATTTGCGTACCAAATTTTAACAGTCAAATTATATGAACATGGAAATTGTTGTTTGAATTCTTGTGCTGTATGTTTCTTCCTTTTTGTTTGAGCTTCATTTATGGGTTCTAATTAGAACGTTTAATTGCATTTTGAATATTGGATCGTGTATTTATAGAAGCTTAATGTTGGTTTTAGAGATTGCTTAACTTTCTCATTGTTGAAAAATCTAATCGAAACATAGTTAAGTACTCTTGCAACCCTTCCTAAGATTTTCTTTTCTTGTGCATACTTTATAAAAGACGTTCTTTTTTTTTCTTGTTCATCCTCTCTTTTTAAATTTTTTTATATCACAATGCACATTTGTGAATCTATGGAAGTAGTTGGTATACAAATTGTTAACTCATTGCTCGTTTTAATTTTATGATTTTCATTAGTGGGTTTTTGGTGTTATTTCATTGTTGTTTTTTATATTCTATCTTGAGGTTCTGACCATTTCTGGTAGGGTCTAGTGATTTCTCTAATTGGCTGTCCATTCTTGAAGCATCAATCTCGACCTAACATGATCATGTACTAGTGAGCATTTTGTTTGAATTACTCTCTTATGATTCATTTCCGTGTATTCTTCTGGATTTTCTATCTCATATGCCAGTGAAAAATTTGCTTAGGTTACAAGAATACTCAAAGATGGACATGCATAACTTCGAAAAAATATGTATCTGTCGCCATCAATAATGTTTTATTGCGCCGTGGGTTGCCTATTTAAAATCTTAATTGAGGTTTTTCTATCTTTGATTTTGTTTACTGGTGGGTTTAGTAACTTCTTATGCAAACTTATGTTGATTTTCCTCTCACTAGAGTTGTCTTTTTTAATTTTTTGATTTCAAGTTTGTGTCACTTTTGTTCCATTGTTCTATGTGAGTGCTAAAACAAATGTGGACATGTAGATATATGAAGGCATGCTTTTACGTTCAATTTATCAAGCACATTATGAGCTGTGTCAATATAGTTAGTTGTTCATCAGGTCAAGCATAGGAGTTGTTAAGAGACAAATTTGCAAGACACATTTTCTTCAAGAAATTCGGGATGATGATCTTGTATTGTTCAATAGAGCACCTACACTGCATAAATAAGGTTTTTTTCTTTCTATTTTGGCTGTGTCTCAAGGTACAATTCAGTGATTATGTAAGTAGGTTTCCTTGTTCTTTGAGTCTTAATACTAATTTAAAAATTGCGGTAATTTTATGCATGGTATTACTCTAAAGAAATTCTATGCACATGAACATTATTTCCCATATATGTTTTGAGTTGATATCTTTTGGGACGATTTCTTTTGTTGTATATCTTCTTGAATTTGCTCCATTGTTGTTACTTTTTGTTGGAGCAACCAAATTATGGTGGTGTTTGATAAAGTTGAATGAAAAGTTGTTGTATGATTAGAAGTTTTTATTGATTTAGAAGTTCTATAGAGAATTTAATGAGGTTTATAACATAGAGCAACATGAAATTATATGAAAATATATATTAGGAGGATTATTAATATTAATATTAGTATGATGATTATTAAGACTACCTTTAGTATAAGTGTTCATCTTTGTTTTTCTTTGGATGAGTATTTTTAGGATAAACGTGTATCTTTATAATAACGTAACCTTGGAATGGATTATTATTTTTACATTTTCTAATTTTGAATTTGCAGAACACTTTGATATTGATTACTATGATAAAGTCGACAGTGTCTTCAATTTCCTACCAATTTACAAACCTCTCAATGGTTAGACAATGGAACTACGCCATTAGAGAAGCTGTAAACCAAGATCAATGTCAAAAAGCTCTCTTTCTTTTCTCCCAAATGATGCAAAAGAGCTTACAACCCAACCATTTAACCTTCCCAATCATTGCAAAAGCATCTGGAAAACTCAATAACGTACGCTACTCTAAAATCATTCATGCCCAAATTGTGAAATCGTCATTTTCAGATGATATATATGTACAAACAGCAATGATGGACATGTATATCAAATGTGATTGTATGAACATTGCATATGAAGTGTTTAGTAGAATGTCTCAAAGGGACATTGCATCTTGGAACTCGTTGCTATTTGGGTTTGCTCAACTGGGTGTTGTTGATGAAGTTTTGTCACTTTTTAAGCAAATGAGAGTTGAAAGAATTCGACCTGATTCAATCACACTGATTGGGTTATCACAGTCGAGTACTAGTAGAGAAGGTGTACCGATTCTGAAGGCTATCCATTCTTTTGGGATTCGTATTGGGGTTGCGATAGATGTTTCGGTTTCTAGTACGTGGATTTCTTCCTATGCCAAGGTTAGAGACTTAGTTTCAGCAGAGAAGGTGTTTCATGGGATTGAGCCATGTTTTGTGACGGTTGTTTCATGGAATTCTATGATAGCAGGATATGCTTATTTTGAGAAATCTTTTAAGGCTGTTAGTTTCTACAAAAAGATGCTTTATGATGAGTTTAAGCCGGACATTAGTACAAATCTTAACTTGCTTTCTTCAATTTGCCGGCCTGAAGACATTTTTTATGGTAAGTTGATCCATTGTCATGGAATTAAGATGGGTTGTGATTTGGACACATGTGTACTTAATACCTTAATTTCTATGTATTCCAAGTGTGACGATCTTGGTTCTGCAAGACATGTATTTGACAACATGGTGTATAAAACTTGTGTTTCATGGACTGCGATGATCAGTGGGTATGCTGAGAAAGGTGATCTAGATGGGGCTTTGGCCTTGTTTCATTCGATGGATGCCACCGGTGTGAAACCTGATTTAGTTACTGTGCTTAGTCTCATTGCTGGTTGTGGAGAAACAGGAGCACTTGATATTGGAAGATGGGTTGAGGACTATGCTAGGTTAAATGGATTGAGAAGTAATATGATGGTCTTGAATGCTTTGATAGACATGTATGCAAAATGTGGAAGCATTGAAGAAGCTTGTGAGATCTTTTATATGATGAGTGAAAGAACCGTTGTTTCGTGGACTTCGATGATTGCCGGGTGTGCTCTAAATGGAGAATTTGGAGAAGCTTTGACACATTTTTTCCATATGTTGGAACTGGGAGTTAAACCAAACCACATAACATTTCTCATTGTTCTTCAAGCTTGCAATCATGGAGGTTTTATTGAAAAGGGATGGGAGATCTATGATCTTATGAGGAAAGTGCACAAACTTGATCCAGAACTAGAGCACTATTCTTCTATGGCAGATCTTTTTGGTCGTGGAGGAAAACTAAATGAAGCTGTGGATTTTATTCAAAACATGCCCATGAAACCTGATGTCGGCATATGGTCCTCATTGCTTAGTGCATGCAAAATTCATCGCAATGTAGCGATTGGTGAACTTGCAGCTTGTCGTCTTTTTGAAATGGAACCACGAGCTGCAGCTCCCTATGTAGAAATGGCAAACATTTATGCATCGACATCATGTTGGGATGGAGTTACCGCTGTTAGAAGACTGATGAAACAAAATCAAGTAACAAAGCATCCTGGACAAAGCACTATTCGAGTAAATGGGAAGACTCATAAGTTTACAGTTGAAGATCGGTGTCATCACAAAGGGCCAATTATATATGAAGTTTTAGATGGTTTAGCTTTAGAGTCGAAATATGAATTAGATGTATCAAATTTACAAGATGTTCTACCATAAACATACAAATGATTTTGGATTCATATGGAAACTATCTCTTGAAAGTATTGTCTCTTCGCACTTGCCTCATTAACATACTCGACAGACCACATTTCCAGTAACTTCGCAAAAAGCCGACGACATAAAGCTTAGGGCCAAGGAGTGTGTCAAAAGATGAGTGAAGGCCAACCAAGAGCCAAGGTCCTTCCAATGCACATAATGGCCACCAATAACGGCCTAAAAGGATGCAATTCTGCTATGTTGCATGTTGTTATGGATTTTGTTAGGATGATCACACGAGGTATTTTGCATTTGTGCATCTCCATTTCTACTTATTTTGCATTTGTATTGAAATTTAGCAAAGGTAAACTTTGAGAGATGATTAGGAAAAGGTAACATCGGAGACATATTAATCAACTTCAGTTCAGATAAGAATTAGAACATGGAGAGTACAACCATAAAGGAAGGAATTTTCTAGAACAAATGGGATATACAGTTTGAATGTTGCATTAATGGATCTACACCTTATAAATCATACTCATTGGCAACAGGTGAGAACTTCTATTAGTTACACCACCCTAAAAAGCTTTGCATCTTAGCCTTTTACCTCCTGACTACCTCCTCACATCAATATTCTAAGTCTCTTGCATCTAAATGCAACTTAGTATCTTATTCAGAAGATAAGAGACTTCTCATCTTCACCCTAAAAGCTTTGCATTTGATTAGAATAATAGAATGCAATAGGAATCTTATTGTATTTTATCAATGAATGAAATTATATTACAGGGATAGTGCCTAGAATTTGAGAAGTAGGTGACTTCCAAGACTCTACACTCGGTTTTCCTCCCGGATCACATATTAATACTCCAAATTCTCCAAAATCCTCCTGTTTGGAAGTGCTATCCCCAACGTCAGACTGGATTTCTCATCTATGTGTGTCAGCTTGCTTCTTCATCTCGTGTTGAGCTATCAATAAATGGTTTTGAGTTCATCCAAATTTCGGCCGTGCTCCTCTAAACATTGATTTGCCTCAAATGACGGGGAGAACTCTTTCTATAATATTCCAAGTGGTGGAAATTGACCATAATGCATCTTGAAAGGAGTCGTATTCCAGAAGTATGATACGAGGTATTTTACCAATGTTTGGCCTATGATAACCGACATGACTATTCTTTGGGGGCTTCCGAAATGAAAAATCATAAATATGTCTCAACACTTCGATTGACAACCTCTAATTGTCCATCCATTTGCGGATGGTAGGTGGTGCTTCACTTGAATTGTGCCTCACAATCTAAACAACTCCTAGAAATGATTCAAAAACACCTTGTCTTGTTCGGTGAATAGACTCTAGAATCCCATTTAAATGCACCACTTTCTGTAAAAACAAGTTACGGCCGTTGTTATGACCGTGTATGGGTGTCGTAACGGAAAAAAGTAGGCATATTTGCTTAATCGGTTCATTACTTCTAAAATAATTGTATACCTCTCACACTTAGGTAACCCATCGATGAAGTCCATCTTGACCTCCTTCTGGACCTTGTCCGATTGCTCCGGTGCCTGTAATAACCCACTTGGAACCATGGTCTAATATTTCTACTGACGACTGGCCACAATTTTTTATGTGTCCATTTTCATTTGGACTTAATATAGTTCTGTAGCCATTCGTCGATAAGTCTTCAACATCCATGAGTGCCCTTATGGAATTCATGTAACAACCTTGGAATCCATGTCGAGGCTCGCGCCTTGCGGTACTAGGCGGCCTCGATAAAGCAACCTTTGTCCCTGGACACTAACCATGCCGGTGTTGAATCGCTTTTGTTTATAGAGCTTTGTATTTTTTGCCGAAATCTTGTGCCTGAGTTCCTTCTACACCAAGTCTATAGATAGAAAGTGCAATCAATTTTGGGTTCCCTCCTTGACGGGATAAGGTATCTGTGACTGTGGCCTTGTACTCGATGTCGGGACCAAAGTTTAAAATACAAAAAAACGCGAGGTGGGGCCTTACTACGCAAGCCTCAAAGCGGAAGTGTGCTAGGCAAAAATCAAAGAATATTCATACACAAAATGTATCCTTGCTAACAAGAAATTTATAAGATGTATATACACAATATATATATATATATATATATATATATTATATTAGCAGATTAAAAAAAAATACTTCCATACTAGATGCTCAATGAAAATGTAATATATATACATACAAGGTACACGTTTATGCTTCATCAAGTACATGGTGCAGCAATACATACATGTGAGTGAGGGAGAAGAAAAGAGGATTTAACGTGTGAGGGAGAAGTAAATCTCTGAGTGATAAGAGGCAACCATGTTTTTTGAGTTTTGACTTTTTAGTTTTTTATTTAAATGAAGATAGACACATCCTAATCACATTAACATGTGCATACGCCTCTCCATAGTCTCACCCATCGCCTAGCACTCAAGGTGTACAACCCATTGAAGCAATGAGAGGCGATGCCTCAAACACAGTTTTTGGCCGCCTCGCCTGAAACGATTTTTAAAACCATGGCCGGGATGATAGTGGATCTCATATTCGTACCCAAGACCTTTGACAACCATTGTTGGTGTTACTCGATGACCATCTGTTGCTCTAGTAGATACCTTACACTATGCTTATTGGTTTGCACAACAAGTTTCCTTCTTGGAAAATAGTGCCACCATTTTTGGATAGGAAAAAGGATCGCCACTGGCTTTCACTCGTAGACTGATTTCATCGTGGCTCAAGAACTAGAAGCGAAACCTGTTTGTAGAACACAATCATTTGACCAAATTGCATCAAAACCATCTCGAAATTGTACGCTGATGCATCTGTCTCAATTACAAACAATTGACTAAGATTCGGTAATACGAGCATATGAACTTTGCGTCATGGCACTCTAGATTGAAGGCTTGTGTTGTGTTCTCCCCTATTTGAAGTTATTCTGCTACTTGCTCGGTTAGTGGCATGGCAATGGTGCTATTCCTCTTCATAGATTTGCGATAATAACAAATTAACACAAGAAACTGTGACATTCTTTTTGCTTCTTGGGGAGTGGCCCATTGAACATAGTGACGACCTTGGAGGAATTGACCGACACTTCATTCTTCGTGACCAAATGATCCAAATATTCAATTTTCTCTAGAGCAAATGAACTTGTACTTTTTTTTGTTGGCATGAACAAGTTATAATGACTTGGTTGGTAACCTGTGTTGTTAGAGCTTTGTGAATATCTCTTTGAGGCGATTCCAATAATCGAACAATACCAACATGAACTTCTGTAAGTAAGGTCTGAATAGGGTTCATTAATGACTGAAAATCTGAAACGTAGCAAGGTGTTTGTTAACCCAAACATAATGACCAAGAACTCAGTGTCCTTCATGCATGTGAAAAACAATTTTGGGTACATCTTCGGTCTTCATCTGGTGACAGCTGAATTTAAGGCTCTTTTTGGAAAAATACCTCGGCACTGTGTAATTCATTTAATAACTCATCGATCACTCGTGTGTTTATAATATTTTCATTAGGGATTGGAACAAGCTATGTATTATCAGAAACTAGTCGAGTACATTAGCTTTGTCTAAAACCTGCTAAACGACACAAATTTTGGAACAACCTCTGTTCTATTGGAAACTTGTCGAGTAATGACTTTGTTTAGGTCCACTAATTGACACATAAATACCTACTACCATCGTTTTTCTTGACACTTAACATCAGGTTCGAGATGGGACTAGAACTTGGTTGGGTCACACAGGCTTCAAGCATCTTGCAAACTAATTTCTCGATTTCATCCTTCTGAATCTAATCTTTGCCATTTTATCGCGAAGAACTATCGGATTTCATCCTGTTGTCATGGTTCTTTCTTTCCATTCCTCGGTGATGGTGGGTGGTATGGTCATACAAGCAGGCCCGTTTCTGACATTTTTTAGGCCCTGGGCGAACATAAAAACAAGGCCCCCACTGCAAGAAACAAGGCTTTTAGCAACGACTTTTGTTGTCGCTAAAAGTCCGTTTATCATTAGAAAGAGTATATAACAACAACATGTCATCCCTATAACTTATGAAACATGTCTTCGCTAAAAGGCGCATCGTCAAAACTCAATTTTCTTGTAGTGACCTTCAGTAATAAATGTTTTTCATTAGTATAAAATTGAGTACAAGAAATGTTAATAATTTACCGAGTAAAAAAATCTTATTTATCTATATTATAGATATATAAGAGAGTACTTAAATTTACGTACTTCTTATTATGTAATTTCAAACCAAGAGTATAGAAACTATGGTTGATAAATTTTTATAAAAAGTAAGAAAATTTTACTTTATAACAAAAAATATGTGTTATTTTGATACAAAAAGAGATTTCGTGTTAATGAAATAATCATGAGGTCAATGAAAGATCAATAATAAAGAAGATTATCAAGGTTATTTAGACAAGTAGACAAATGAAGATTAATAAGAATATGAAAGAAAAGATGATCCATTGAGATCTAGTAAAAATAAATAATGAATTAAACATATAATATGCAAGTTCAACAAATGATTGTTTGAGCACTTAAATAGAATCTTGTGGTGTGATGGAATCCCAATGAAAGATACATAAGTCAAACAATTGATGAAAATATTTAAATTCTWTTTTTCTTCTTTTTTTGYTYAACTAAAATAAAATGTTAATATTAAAAGTTTATGGAACATGACATATATAAGAGACATTACTAAATACATCTAGTAGAAAAAATTTATTGATTAATCACAAAACCATGAAACATGTCATAAATCATAAGAACAATAGATTAATTGTAAAAAAAAGTAAAATATTTTATGTAGAAGCAAAAATAGATAACAATAGTCAACAAAAACAATTAGAACAACATAACCAATAGTCAATAAAAATAGAAATAGATAAAAATATCTAACAAAAATATATAGCAATAGCAAGCACATGATCTTAACGTTGAATTGTTGAAGCACGAAAATAGTCAAGCATATAGAGATAGCAATAGCCAATATCATTGGACCTTGTTGGAGATAAAAAAATTTATTGGGACAATAAACAATAGCATATAATGAATGATCAATTTATTTTTTTTATTTTCGACTCCAATGTAATTAGTTGATATATTTTTGGGCCATTATTATTTACTAAATTATTTTTGTCTTTTATTATATGCTACAATTTTTTGGTTTCTTTAATTTATTAAATTATTTTAGACTACTATATACTTTAATGGAAAAATTTGGGCCCCTTATATTTTTGGGCACGCCCGTGCCGCCCTCCCCCAGGGGCCGTCAACCCGCTTCCCAGAGTGCAACTTGGCCTCTCGTTTTCCCTCCTTGGTAGCATGAGTTGCTAAGGCTACCCAAGCTGGATCTTTCTAAGTTAGTCATCCTTAATCATCGAGCCAACCGCATGGTTTAAGCCAACCCCGACGGGCAAAGGTACCTACCTGTAAACAGAGTGAATTTCTGACTTTAGTGCATTTTACGGAAGTTTCTACTAAATTTGTAGGGTATTCTGGTTAGTTGTCTCGACAACCCCTCAAACTGATCTCGATACTCTCCGATTCCCCCGTCTTGCACTATTGCCAATATTCCTTGTACATGTTACTTTCATGTGTTAATTGGAAACGATTCACCAACCGCCCTTCTAAATGCTCCATGATTTGAATGACACTCATTGCTTAGTCCACCAGAACCATGCAATGACCTACCCTTAATGGTGTCATCCTTTGAATTTTAGGATATCGCTCGGCTTTGTAAACCTAACCATGCGCATCATCCCCGTCAAACACCGGCTTTTGCAATTTCGGCATTAGATAGTCGGGTCTCTCCAAAGTGGGTGGTCGTAGCCCTTTCCATTTGGATTTGATCCCCATTGAACTGGGCCCCCTTTCTGAGGCCGCAATCACCATCGTCATTGCTGCCGGTTGCTGTTGTATGGTAGCATTGTGTTCTTGTTGCTATAGGTTTCGCAATTCCAACAACTTCACGTCTAATACATAAGGGTGTTCAAACCTCACAAATCGCATAACCCCCCACCCACACCGTAACATACCGCATTGTTTAGAACTTTCAGGTATGGTTTGCAGTTTGTGTTTTTTTATCTTGTAATATGCGGGTTGTTTGCGGTTTTCAATAACTCAAACAGGGGTTCAAACCATTTTGCTGTGCGGTTTGAGGTATCCGCAGTTTCGTTTGTGGTTTGGAAGAATGTTGAAACCGCATATGCAACATGGTTTATGATCTGGCTGTAAAGCGCAACGCATTGCGAACACTCCTAGACTTCCACATTTGCGTCTTTGTCTGCCGATAGTTTAACCAACTACTCGGTGTAAATGGTAACTCCGATCAATAGTATCTCGTGTGAACAACTCCTCGCAAAAAGTAACTCGACGGCTAATTGTACTCCGACGATGAAGGTGATGGGTGTTACAGCCAATTTGATAAGAACACAATTGGACGCTTATTTTATTTATCTAGGAATCAAAAAAATTTCAGGGATAGTGCCTACAATTCGAGAAGTAGGTGATCTCCCAAGAATGTAGACTCAATTTTCCCTCCCCCAAAACCTTAACCCTAATGACCTTATAGATACTCCAAATTTCCTAAACCTATCATAAATCATATAGCTTGATTACCAAGCCACTTGTTTCATTTCAGGAAACTAAAAATAATAAAAGATATCACAATAATAGAAGGAAACTAATTAATATCAACTATGAAGCCCAAAGTCTCATAAATCACCTTACACCCCCCTAGACGTATCAACATCTTAGCCTTTGACCTCCACACATCAAGATTCAAGTCTCTTGCTAGAACTCCAACTTATATTGATTCTTATTCAGAAGATTTCTGGACTTTTAATAGGTCAACTTAACATCTTTAACCTAAAATAGACGTCTTATAGAGTAGCCATAAAAATTAGGGTATTAAATGATAAGTACACGTATGTCCAAATCACAACCATGTTGATGCCATGACAATGAATCAACTTCCAAGAGATGTTCATGTGGCCGATTGAAGAAAGCAAGTCTAGATTGGTACTCAACTCCGAATTAAACCTATCATAGAGCATCTTTTTGTAGTTACGAAGGGACTTCCAAGATTATTCAAAATAGGCAATAGACTTCCATCAGTGGTTCACTTTATCTGATGTTGTGCCTAATTCTCTAACTTCGCGTAATAAGAAACCCATTTGTTGGAAAACGGAACATCTACTAATACCCCAATTCAGATCATAAAAGTCCGGTTCTCATTCTGATGTCCTAATAACTTTGACCAAATTCGGCTGAATTCTTTCAACTCTCATTTGCTTAAAATGTCACAAAACTCAATCAACAACACCAACTGAGCAAACCCCAAGAGCAACGCATTTCAAGACACCATCTTTTAGGCATTCTATCAACCAATGTTTTTATGGAAACATTTTATATATACGTGACCACTGTTGTCTGCACATACATATTTGTAGGAAATGACAAATCTACAATTTAAGTTGGTGATTTTAAGATGATATATATTATTGAGTTCTGTAACGATTTTGCTTTGATTGGAAGGTTAAATGGTTGGGTTATAAGATAGTTTTCATTCTTTGGTGAAAGAAATAAAGGCTTTTTGATACTGAGCTTGATTTATATCTACTCTGATTGTATGGTTATATTGGCTAGGTGTTGAGAATTTTGAAAATGTTGGAAACTGACAATGTTTTCGGAGCAATCAAAATCCTCAAGGTATTCTACAATTGTTAACGACAAATTGATAGTTTAAATTTGGAAAAATAGAAGTAGTGGCCGATTTTGCTTTTACTGTTATGGCTACACATCAGTGTGCCATCCCAATCACATTCAATGTGATGAGAACGATTAAATGTTTGTTATCATGTGTTACCAATGAATGTATCTCTTTACTTGGAAAGTCTTGGATGATACATTTTCATGCTAAGCATAACAAAGATAGAATTCTTATAGTTTTAAGTATGGGAAAAGGCGAGGGCGTTGTTTCCAACACCACCAAAGAGGCATGTTGCATATTATCTTTCAAATGTTGAGAACCACACTAGCATGAACCATGGGTTAAGAATTCAAAACTGGCTCTCAGTGACAAGGTAGCCAAGAAGCAATATATTCAGAACAAGATTGAAAAGCCAAATGGAGTAGATGATGTGACAATTGAAGTGTCCAAGTACAAGATAGCTGTAGGAGACTTGACCCAAGCTAATGAAAAGGTAGATCTGAAGCTTTTGTGGAATTCAAAGACGAGATAAACAATGGAGGTGTTGTTGATTATGTTTCTAAGGACATTAGGCATATGAGTTTGTTATAAATTGGTCTGCTAGAAGATTTGTTTTGTTTCATTTGATTTGTAATGCTCAAGAGATCCTTGGGTAAGAAGCACAGAGTCCTAGCTCCTTAGTTGTTTCCTAATCCTACCTGTACTCCTAACTGTCATGCATCAGGATCTGTTGAATGATGAACTAATATTATAAGTGTTCCCTATGGAACATTTGAATAGCAACCGAACCCCATGAACGGTATTTTACAATTGATGTGTGATAAAACTGAATGATAGAGGCCGAATAGTATTATCACAACATGAGCGAAGGGAGTACAAAATAAAATTAAAGGCATCCGATTTGAACAAGTAATATGAAAAATAACACAAAGATCAAATCTTTTACCACCTACTAGCTAGAATGGCAAATTTCAAAACGGAACTAGACTTCAGAGGTGGTTATTAACAAGGGTGAGAGCATCTTTAGACAGAAAAGCGTGACTTATTCTAGTTTTCTGCTCTTGCAAAGTATTCAGCTGAGTGCTTTTAATATGTAGGTACAAACCATTATGCTTCTTCAATTCTTTTAATTTCTTATAAACCCCAAGATCTCAATAACTACAAAATCCTTCTGATTGGAAATACGAATTGAGATGTTCTAAAGTATTTTGATGGGGTCAATTTTTAGCCTATTATAGATAGTTTGGGATATAAGGCTTCTTGTTGAGAATATAAATTGAAAGGTTTCAAAGTATTGTTTTAACTCCGATTTTAGCCTACTGTTGCTTGTTTGTGATGCTTTTTGTTGAGGATATTTGGCAACTAATCCAATAGCCATAGAGTGATGTATTTGTTACTGCATTTCATCAAAATGCTGTTTATTAAAAATCCCGTGTGCATTTTGAAAATGGAATATAATTATGTTTCAAGGCAATCAGAATCAAGTTCGAGATCCCTAAATATACGACACTGTGAGGAAATTTTGAACAACTATTTCAAAGTACTTGATGAATGGGAAACAGAAGAAAGAAATCTATTATAGAAGACCAACCTTGCAGTAATGAAGCTATAATTTGTTGTGTAAAATCAGTAGCTGAGCATTAACACAAATTGCTTAAGTTCATGGAAATGGCATGGAGAATTGGCATGCTTCATAGTCTAAAATGTATGCACGTTTGTTGTGACTGATGAAGCTTATGTCCACCATATTATTATAAATGTAAATGGTTATTTAATGGTTCGATGTTTTATAGAGGCAATACATGTTTGCATTTACAATTTTTTTAATATGATAGCACAATAAGAACCTGTATGGTTCAAGTCTGCCAATTAAGTCCATGTATGGTGGAAAACAGAAACAAACGTTACAGGAAAACAGAAAACAGAAAGGGAAAATTGAAATTTGTTGATTGCTAAGCCTAGTTCATCGACACTGGTTAGCTTGTTTTATGGATTTATGCATGGTGGAATACCTAAAAAGGCATCAAGTAGGAAAAAAAATTTTGATTGATGAAATTCTCCTAACGTAACAAGTTATGTGATGAATTTTTGGTAGGGACCATGAGAGTATATATATGAGGATATGCATCCAGTTACTGAGGAGCTAAGAAGAGCTAGGAAGCAGGTGTCCAACTTTGTTCAATACGCAAGAGGTAAGTTTTGGTCTTTTATTTGGAAATTGTGGAGATGAAATCCTCAAATTAAAAATTCAGAAATTAAGAGAACTCATATCTTCTGCCTGTGAGATAGATAAAGGAGATGCAGCAATGTGAGAAAACAAATTCATCTTCCTCGATAGTTTAGCCTATTGTGGTTCCAAAAAGAAGGTAAAAGTAGAGTGAAGACTTAAACTTAAGTATGTGCCTACTTAATATATATTTAGCACATGAACTATGATTTCCTTTATTGGTTTGATGACCTTGAATCATATGCATACACGAATGAGTAAACACGCCCCCATTCTTAATATTGAAAAATCCCAGAACCCTAGTTTCCACTTATCATGCAACCTTATTCCTGCATTCATATCCTTACAGCACAGTTGAGGTGAAGATGGAGAAAAGGTTGAATTTTGAGTCCAATGACTTCATGAAGGCATGCGATAGATATTTTGGCAGCAACATTAAGATTCAAAATGGCTAATATCATTGCATGATCAAGAGATCTATTAGATTATTGTGTAGTTTTAACAACAGATCGAGATCTCATACAGCCCTCTCACTTTTAAGCCTACCCTATCAGTTTTAATCCCGTATCATTCGATGGAGTTAATCACTTAACTCCTTTTCCCTTTATTTCGGACGGATAATATCCCATGCTGCGTGCTCTTCACGAAGGATATGTTCTTGTTGATGATCGGCAAAATTGAGTTACCAAATTAATTGCATAAGAAGAGCTATTGTTTCCATATTTTCAATGAACAAGCATGTTCTGTTGGAAACAGATATTGAATTGAATGCTTGAGGAAAAACTTTTGATTCTTTTTATAGTTCTGTATATGTCCTTTTTTCTTGATATTGAATGATCATTATTGTGTGAATTCTCTGATCATTGTTCATTATGCAACAGGGTTTTCAGGTCTACTCCAATGCAACCTTGTGCTACAAAACTTACTATTAGTTTGAAAGGAGACAGACACGGAGTTGCTAGTTGTAATGTCCAGAGTCGTCAAGATAGCATAAAGGAAGAGCCAATTGATATAAATGGTTTTAGTGCTCCACCTAAGATCGATAGGAAGAGAAAGGATCACAACGACATCAGGGGTTCTACATTTCACGTGGACCTGAACAACACCAATGAAAACCTTATCGACTTATCTTCCTCTGACTGCAACACAGAGGATGAAAATATCCCACCTTGTGATGATTCACAGAAACAGTTGGTACTCTATGATCCTTGTGTTAATGGTGGAGGTGCAATTGAAGCTGTCCCAGATCCAATTTCATATAAACCACCATCTTATCCAAGACATCACCCTCAAAGAGTATTGCCATCTGTAGGTGCTTTCACAGTTCAGTGTGCCAACTGTTTTAAATGGAGACTCATCCCGAGCCAAGAGAAATATGAGGAAATACGAGAACACATTACAGACAAGCCCTTTGTGTGTGAAACAGCTCATGAATGGCGTCCTGATATTTCATGTGATGACCCCCCTGATATTGAGCAAGATGGAAGCAGACTCTGGGCTATTGACAAGCCCAACATTGCACAGCCTCCTCCTGGGTGGCAGAGGGATCTGAGGATCAGGGGTGAAGGAAGCACAAAGTTTGCCGATGTGTATGCGTGCTTTCTGATTTTTCTTATTCTTTGGAGGCTAACAAAAATTTATAATAAACTTTTATTAATCTAACTTTGGTTGGTATCTTTTATTGGTAATCAGATATTATACTGCACCAACAGGCACTAAACTGCGCTCAATACCCGATGTCCAGAAGTATGTTATGTACGCAGATCATTTTAATATTGCATCACACCTTAACAGTTCAATTGGTTGCTAATCATTTATATCAAACAGGTACTTGTTTAAACACCCAGAATACGTGGAACAAGGGGTGACACTAGCACAATTTTCGTTTCAGATCCCAAAACCATTGCAGGAGAACTATGTAAGAAAGCGTCCTGCTCGTGTGGCAGTATTGCGAGAAGGTAACTGTATGTAGGTGCCTGGATCTCTTGAACCTTCCCCAGGCATTAGAGTTGTTTTGCATGTGTATCCTTGTAATATACACACACATACATATGTATATGTATGTGTATATACATCTATATAGGGTATACATGCTTATATCTATGCATATATATGTTATATATCTATATGTATGTTCTCAATGGTTGGGAGGTTTTCTCCAAGTCCATGATGTGTTTATTTGGAAGAATGCTCTTGACAATCGTCCACATAAACCTTCATGTTATTTCCTTGCCTGGATCTAGGGGACCTGGTTTACTTGTGCCTTTGGTAGGTCGCTTCTGCATTTTTTAAGCCAAATGTCATTTCATACAAAACAAGGAATGGAACAATTATGGCCCAACTAAAGATCCAAGAGTGTGGAGGATGTTAACTGGCAAAGTTGTTAGACTTAGATATATGGTGGACTGCTGGTAGTGGTCCTAGTGGAGCAGGTATAAGAAAAGGAATTAATGAAATCTGTGTTTGGGCTCTAAGCTCTACAACTTCGAGAGGGAATCTTCCTGGGAAAATACATTCTCTTATCATTTTCTTTTCTGCGTATTCTTAGTATCAGCATAATACTTCTTCATTTGCATTAAATTTCGGTTGAGTTTCCAAACATTGGTCTGACCTGCCGGATTCGAAATTGGCCAGCAATGGAAACTCAAACTCAGTCCCGTTTGGAAAACCATGATGTACAGATTCAGAATTTGCATGCATGCATATGTCAGGAAATCAAGTTGTCCCTTCAAGAACTAGCAACAAAGCAGTTAAAGCAGGGGGAGTTAGAACCTACTTGACTAATTGGACTTAACGACAACGAAAACAACCAGAAATTTTCTGATGAGAATGTTGGTTTTGAGGCCCGTCCATAACAATGTGACACCAGGTCCTCTTGGATCTCCTTCTTCCCATTATTTTCATCCAAAACCAGGTGATGAAGTTTTCTTGGCAGAAAAGAAGGTGAAGTTACCAAAGTTGTATGGGTATGACCCAAGGGATGGATAGCCAAGACTGAGTTGTATTTTGACATCCATGGAACGCTGACAGATCTCAAATTTTGATTGGCTCAGTTAAGTATGTCAGTGTGGCTCAACATTGGTTCCCGGTGGTGAAGGAACTAGAGATTCACACAAGAATTACTTCAACATTTCAGTAGACTAGAGATTCAAAAATCCGTACGACCAACTTTCAACTGTCAACATGTGGGATCAATTCATGACTGTATTGACGACTTCGTGTATCTGCTTTCTTTAGTAACTCGTCTTCCAGAATCGCAATCAATGGGCTATTCTTGGCTGGGTTACGTAGTGATGTGAAACTATGGGTTCGTTTACATTGCCTGGGATCGCGCTTATGAGCTATGTATTTGGCTAAGGATGTGGAGAGATGCTAAATGGTTCCAAACTAGGCATCTCTGTCAACAAGTACCATTATGAACGACGACGCGAAGGAGGCTATCAGGGGCGTGATTTGTTGCAGGTAACTTGTGGCCCAATGTCAAAATGGGTCGGTTATCTGACCCCGTTTGAAGCCTAGAACCCTTTTCCAGAACAGAGTGGTCCGGTTAGGGCTGATTTTTATAAACCTTACGGTTCTAATGTTTCCAAGGACGTCAAAACTGATTCCGGAAATTCTTGAAATCAAGGATCACGTTCTCTCACACGGATGGAATGGGAAGAACGACAGCATAAGGGGCTGTGTTACCGATGTAGGCAGCAGTACAGGCCGGCACATAAATGGCCTGAGGGAAAACTACGGATGATTCTCTTGACTGATGACGAAATCGTTTAAGATGATGGGGAAAATTTATGATTGGGAAGTACAGATGACGTGCTTGAGCAAGAGGAAGGTCTTTTAGAAGAATGGGAGTGCCTGTCTTAGAGTTCAATGGGCTGTGGCAGACCACAACCAGGGATTAAAAACATCGAAGCTTGAAGGCTCTTTGCTGGAATTCCTATTTCAATTCGTACCAATAGCGGGGCAACGCATAACTACGTTCTCGAAAGTGACTCAAGCTTTAGGACTGCCTACGATGGAATTTCTAGGTCTTCATATCAAGTTGGGTGATGGACTCAAGGTATTAATTACTTAGAAATGTTTAGACCTACAAATTTTTTGGGAGACAAGTTTGTTTTGAATTCTTTGTTATTTGACATTAGGAGTTTAGATATGGTTCTGGTGGGCATTGATTGGCCTAGAACCTTGGGTGATGTTATCCATCACTGGGATTTGCAATGTGAAATTCTCTTATTTGGCCAATGATGTTCGTTTGACCGGTGTTTCGAGTTCAAAAGGTGGGGAAAATTTCTTTGCAAGGTTGGTTGTCAAATGATCAATGAGCTCCATCACTTCAAATCTTGTTTACAGAGGATAAATTGGCTAGGGGAACAGAATCGTTATCAGACACTCAACATGCCATAACCTTGCTACCTAACCGTGGTCCTATTTGTGTTCGACCCTATAGATCCCTCACATACAGAAAACAAAAATTGAGAGGCACGTGAAGGAACTTCTGTCAATCGGGGGGTTATCTGTCCACGCAAAAGCGCATTCTATAGACCGCTGATTTTGTTATGAGAAAAGGATCAAACTTGGAGGATGTGCATGGATTATACAGCACTAAATAATGCAACAGTGCTTTTTAAATACCCTATTGATGAATGGAAGGGAGCCCACTTTCCGAATTAGACCTCAAATTGTGTTATAATCAGATACGTATACAGCCTGCAAGTGTCGAAAAGACTGCTTTCAGAACCTATGATGGGCACTATGAATATTTGGTAGTGCCATTTTGACTTACTAATGCCCCAGCCACCTTCCAAGCCATCATGAATGACATTTCAGGCTTTATTTTTTTCAAGTTCATAGTGGTTTTTTGACGATATTCTGGTTTATGGTCCTAATTGGGTACAACATTTGGAGGATCTTACGATTGCTTTGCGTGTTCTGGTTGCTAATCAGTTTATGGTTCTAATTTGGTGGAGTGGATGGGCGAAGGAAAATGAAATCTGAAAGAAAAATATGCTTTGGGAGTGTGAGATAGGTGGACGGGAGTACGCAGCCGAACAACCACAGGGTTTATGTTTAAGGAAAGAAGTGTGTTTTTTGGCAACCGTCACTTGAGCATTTGGGCTACATCATTGACAAAAAGGGAGAGTCAACGGATCCCATGAAGATTCAAGCCGTTATTGATTGGCCAACACCCAAGCAAGTTAAAGGAGTCGGGGATTCTTGGGCCTTACAGGCTATTAGAGAAAGTTTATTCGCCATTATGGGATAATCTAACTAAAAAGAGTGGTTTCCATTGGAATCCCGAGGCTCGACGGACTTTTGACGCCCTCAAAACAGCCAAGCCATGGTAACTTCCCGTGCTTTAGCTTTGCCTAATATTTCTATTCCTCTTATGGTTGAATGTGATGCTTCAAGAAGTTGTATTAGGGTAGTTTTGATGCAATAGCAACAACAGTAATGCTTTAGCAAACCGGAATCTAGCAAAGTCATCATATGAGCGGGAGAGTATGGCTTTAGTTTTAGCGCTTCAACATTGTTGCTGATATCTATTGGGCACCACTTTGTTGTTTACACAGATGAAAAAGTCTCTGTCATCTCTTACAACAACGGATTACTGGTCTCAATCAACAAAATTGGGTTGCTAAGCTTTTGGGATATCAGCTTGACATTTGTTTTACATCTGGGAATGAAAATTGCGTTGTTGATGCGATGTACAGAAAAGATGCAGATGGCGAATTCCCTTTGCTGGTTAGAGCTCAATGTGTTCTAGGTGCTCAACTTGTAGACTAAGCAAGGTCAGATCCCAATTTACAACAAATCATTCACAAGTTGCAACAAAACCCTTCCAGTCATCGGGGTTATTCAGTACATCAAGGCGTTATATATTTACAGAAGGAGATTAGTCATTCCTCCCACCTCTAAATGGATTCCTGTTCTTTTAGAAGAGTTCCACAAGTCTGCTATCAGGGTCATCCGGGTTCTTGTTGCACTTCTAGTCATCTGGCAGCCAATTTGTATTATCTCGGAATGACTAACACGGTTCAAAAGCACGTACAGGCTTGTGATATTTTGCAGAGGTGAAAATTGAGTTATTTGGGAGCATATTTCCATTAGATTTCATTTTGGGCTTATCCAAATCGAAGGGGTATGGATGCCTTGTTGGTATTAGTTGCTAGGTTGTCCAAATATAACCAGTTCATCGTATTAAAGCATCCTTATCCTGCTAAAAGTGTTGCTGTAACTTGTGTATGCTAAGTTCTTCAGCTACATGGGTGCCTAGGTTTATCCTAAGTAACCGTGATCCTCTCTTCCTCGGTCACTTTTGGCAGGAAATTTTTCGGCTGCAAGGTACCCAATTGCATATGAGCTCAGCCTATCATCCGGAGTCCGATACTCAGACTGAGGTGATCAATCGATGCTTGGAGATGTATCTTTGTTGTTTTTCAACTGATTAGCCTCTGTATTGATCCATGGGCTGAGTTTTGGTATAATATTTCATAGTTCTACTGGTTTATCCACATTTTGAGTCTTGTGTATGGCAGAAAACCACCTGCTATGGTTCAATTTATTTTGGAGAGATTCATGTGGAGGCGGTTGGGCAAGAGTTGAATGATGGTGACAAAGCTTTGAAACAATTAAAAGTTCATTTGCAGCAAGCTCAATCCTTGACGTAAGCTAAAGCCGATAAAAAAACAACCGGAGGTCAATTTTGCAGTGGGGGAATGGGTTTACTTAAAACTGAAACAGTATCATCAGTAATCGGTTGCTCAACATATTTTAGAGTAGATTGCTCATGTTTCTTATAAATTGCAGATGCCGTCATCATCTGAAATTCATCCTGTTTTTCATGCCTCTATTGAAGAAAGCTGTTGTGTTGTACTTGGTGAAAGGGTCCTTGCCTCCAGACCTAGAATTGGATGTTACAGATCAGTTTCTTCCCCAATCAAGGCTGCCCATAAAGGTGAGACAGTACTACACTGGTTGATAGAATGGAAAGACCGTCCTATAGATGAAGCCACTTGGGAGGATGCTATTACTGTCCAATCATATTTTCTGATTTTTGTCTCGAGGACAAGACGGTTCCAGAAGGCAGGGCTAATGATATATGCTGTTATATCGGTCAGAATACAAAATATCGGTCAAGACCGATATTCGATATATCGGTCCAAAATAGCGGTTAACATAATATTTCTTAGAATTATATATATATAATATGCATTAATTAGAGTTTAGAAATATAGTTTCAAAATTAAAACATCACATCATCTAAAGTGTTCAAAAACGAGCTAATCGCAAGCAATAGGTTCGGCATCCGAGAAAAGAAGCCAAACCGTGACTCCGTGAGAAGTCTGAAGTTGTGAGAAGTCTGAAGTCGTGATTCGTGAAGTGAACTAGGTGTCTGTGAAGTGTGAAGTCGTAACTCGTAAAGATGAAAAGAAAGGAAGAAGACTGTTGGAAGGCAGACTATTAATTTCAGACCTAATAATATATATTACCAAGTCCAAAAAACTAAGCCCATGAAATAACAAAAGCCCAAATAATTGAACCCTAAAAATCGATATATCGGTCCGATATATGCATCAAAATATCGCTAAATATCGGGAAAAATCGGAAAATATCGCCAATAATATCGGGGACGATATTTTGACCGATATTTATGCAGTGATATTTTGCCTAGGTCCGATATCCGATATATCGACGATATATCGACGATATATCGCGATATTAACAACATAGCTAATGATATAGATCAAGTTGGCAATAGACCAATTACGGCCAACTAGCCCACGATCCAAGAGTCTGCAGGGTATATAATAGAAGGCCCAAGGGTAGTGGGAAAAGGATGAGAGCTGGCAAAGTTGTTAAAATAGATATATAGTCGAATGCTGGTAGTGAAGCACACATAAAAAAAGGGAATTAATGGTATATGTTTTTATGCTCTCAGGTATATATTGTTGGAGAGGGGGAACGTAATCTTATTATCAATGTAATAGTTCATTTACTGTTGAATTTCTCAACAGCATACTTGGCAACAATAGAGAGACCCCTGTGCGATAAGAGAGGTATTTCAAACATTAGGTTGATGCATTGGATGAGGTTGTATATGGAAAAGGCATCCATAAAATTAAGGAACTCGTGTCTTGCTATTGCATCGACGAGTGGGTCTATTTGGTAGTTGATAGAAGCGCTTAGGGTAAAAAGCTATCCCTGTTTTCACTAGGCTTGGGGACCATGACAGGGTTTGATATCCATTTAGCAGCATATCCTTTGGCATACTCTCGAGGGAACTTTGTACTTCTTTGAGCGCTTTTTCAAAGGAACGCTGCTTTTCTTGGTTTTGAAGAGTGGCATTGAAATAGTCTAAATACGGATCAAGAAGGAATCCTCAACCTGGCCTTGTGGTTTCTGCATCCTTCGCTCATGGTCTTGATTCTTGTGGTGTTGAGGGGAGTCTAGAGATCGAGGCATAGCTTTTGTTTGGTGCTTTGTATGTGTTCTGTTTTTGGCCTCATCATTGTGCTCTTATTCCCATTGAGTTTTCTCTTCTTTAGTTAAGTTGTTTATGCTACCCCACCTTCCTATAGTGTTTAACCACAGGTTTATCTTAGGTTGCCTGTTGTTTAAGGAAACTACTGTCACAACTTCAAAGAGGTTAAGATGTTAAGGGATTCCTCGCTGAAGCTATTGAGGTAGGAATGCAGTTACTCATTTTCTTACCATCCTAGTATTGACATAAGAGGAAGTGAGTGGCTTCCTGTTCCCTTGCATTGGACATTCTTGTGGCTATTCTCCCCAAGTGTTATTCCGTGTGGGATTCATCGCCTTTGTGTTTTAGATCCCTCGTAAAGGCTAATGAGGTCGAGTTCACTACAAACTCCTTGAATGGGAGACTCTTGCTCTTAAATAGTGGTAGTTCTTCATATCACATGCTAATTGGATACTTGAGAATGGAGGTGAAGAAGACCTCCACTTATGATGGTGCTTTGTATATACGGAGCTTAGTTGGAACTCCCTTTGTGTTCATCTTGTGAAGGTTTAGGAATCATATTCCTAGTTTTCCCTTTCCGTTGGGAATCCACGGAATGCTAGAAATCCCGGTTAACCTTGTATCAGGGTTGTTCTATATACCATTACGTTTTTACCATGTCAATAGCAGTATTTTTTTCGTACTTTATTTTCACTGTGGATTTGTTGATTTCATGAGAATGGTTGATGCTTGGTAAATCATGTCTTATTTGTGTGGGTCTTAGTTTTTTCTGCTTTCATAGCATGTCAGTTTTAGTTTTTCTTCCTATTTTGATAGTTGTCAGTATTACGCTTTGTGATTCCTGTATCAAAGAATGCAATAACTAGGATGGGCTTGGCGTATGTGGAAGTAAGGAGGTGAACTTTTATGTCCCTACTTCCTTTTCTGTTCACTATACCTGTTTCACTTTTGCATGCACTCCTATGTTACTATACAAGCCGGGGTCTTCACAGAATATGTGGGATATACTGCATTCCTTTTAGTAATGAATATCCATTTTCCGTTCCTTGCAGCTAAACCAATGGCGTTACCAGGTCCAGAAGAGAATACCGATTTGCAGCTTGGTCTGCCAGGGTTCTCTGCTCGGTACACGTTTGATCCTGTGAATCCAACAGTAAAGAGGGCAAGGAGCGCACCAGGTAAACGGAGAGAGAATTTCGACTTGATGTTGAAACAGCCTAAAATGTAGGTTAGCTGACTACAAGGGACCACTATTGGAATCAAACAACAGCACAGTGGTCTCTCCCTCAAAAACTTTCTTTTTGTATTTGTTTACAGGACTCAATGTCCTGAAACAAATTTATGTGGAATTAGCAAACTTTTAGCTCTGAAAGTGGGGCTCTTTTAGGGGTTGAGAAAGGGAGGATATGCCATTGTGACTTCTTTTGGAATGTATATGGAAAAAGATCATCCTAGTATTACTCTGGTTTGTTAGAATATGTGGAACTTTTTGCAATTACTATTTAGAAAGAACCTTTATAGAGATATTAGGTTTCTACATACAAGTTACATGGTCTATGTAAATTTTAGCCCATGAGAAACTCCAACATTCCCCCTAAGTGGTGCTAGACCACAATATGAGCCAGTATAGAAAGAGAAGGTTCATATATATATATATATATATATATATATATATATATATATATATATATATATAT